GAATAGCAAGCCCAAAGTCAGCAAGCAAGCTGCAAAGCCATTCCAACTCACTAACAACATCCAACATAGCCTGATATTTAGCTTCAGTAGATGACTTAGAGACCTTATCCTGTTTCTTACACCTCCACGAAATGAAAGCATCTCCTAACCGAACGCACCAACCAGTCGTCGACCGACAAGTATCAATACAACCAACATAATCAGAGTTAGAAAAAGCCCGTAAGCAAAGATCACCAGTAGAAGGAAGAAATAAGCCAACACCTCGTGTGCCACGGAGATAACGAAGAATCCGATGGACGGCCGCCAAATGATCTACACGAGGGTCAGACATAAACTGACTGACGACCTGAACCGCATAGGCAATATCAGGTCTAGTGGAAGCAAGATAGATCAGACTCCCAACGATGTTGTGGTATTGACGACCATCCTCCAAGGCGGCTCCAGAGTCACGACCAAGCTTCAAGTTAAGCACAATCGGCGTGCGGACTGGCATACAATCAGAAAAGCGATGCTCATCAAGGAGATCGTCAATATACCTCCTCTGACAGAGCAGAATACCACGATCAGAACGGACCACTTCAAGACCCAAAAAATAAGAGAGAGTACCAAGATCCTTCAGGCTGAACGAGTCATGAAGATCGGACTTGAGCTGAGCAATCCCTACCTCATCATCTCCAGAAATGATCATGTCATCAACATAAATTAACAAGACAACCAGGCCGCAGGAGGAGGACTTAATGAACAAAGACGGATCATTAAGACTCTGAGCAAAACCAAATCCCAAAAGAGTAGAATAGAACTTATCAAACCAGGCACGAGGTGCTTGCTTCAAGACATACAAAGAGCGATGTAGAAGACAGACCTGACCTGGCTTAGCGTGAGCATATCCAGGAGGAAGCTCCATATAAACTGTCTCCTTCAGATCTCCATGAAGAAAGACGTTCTTGACGTCGAGCTTATATAATGGCCAAGAACGAACAGCAGCAACAACTAACAGAGTGCGAACAGTCGTCATCTTAACCACAGGTGCAAAAGTCTCAATAAAATCAATGCCATACTCCTAAGTAAACCCTTGAGCCACCACACGAGCTTTAAAACGCTCAAGACTGCCATCAGAGTGAAACTTAAGAGCATAAACCCACCGGCAGCCAACTACAGGAACCGTAGGAGGAGGACGATCAACCAGAGTCCACGTTTTCTTTTCATGTAAGGCATCAATCTCCTCATCCATGGCACGATTCCATCGTGGATCATCTTTAGCTTGAGAATACCTGGATGGAACCACAATGGAAGAGACACCATGAGCAACAAAATCACCAAAATGAGGAGGAGGTTGCCCCTTAGTGATCCGATCAAAGCGGCGCAAGACAGGAGCTGGTGGACTTGGCGGAGTTGGTGGACTGGGTGGAGACGGAGGACTCGGGGGAGTCAGCGGAATAGGTGGCGACGGAGGACTTGGCAGCGTGGGTGGCGTCGGGGGAGGCGAGTCTGGAGGGTCCAGGGGGTCTTCAGCATAATCAATGTCTTCATCAAAGCTGGGCAAGTGAGAAGTAGAGAACAGAGGCGAGAGAGACTCAGAGGGAGTGGAGTAGTATGGAACATTCTCAAAAAACACGACATGACAGAAGATACGGATACGACTGAGGAGAGGATCATAACAGAGATAACCTTTGTGAATGTCACTATAACCAAGAAAGAGGCAACGAGCAGCTTTGGAGGATAACTTAGTACGCTCATGACGAGGTTTAAGGACAAAGCACAGAAAACAGAAAACACGAAGGCTGGAGTAAGGCGGTTGACGAGAGTAGAGGGCAAAAAATGGGCTCGACTGCTTGAGAACAAGGGTAATCTGATAATTGATGAGACAGACAGCAGTAGCAACAGCTTCTGGCCAGAATCGCGGAGGAACATGGGCGGCCAGAAGGAGAGCTCGAGTAAGCTCCATGGTATGGCGATTTTTCCGTTCAACTAGGCCATTTTGTTGAGAAACTCCAGGACATGATTTTTGACACAAGATGCCATGAGTTTTATAATACCCTAGAAGCAGGTTGGAGCTAAATTCCCCACCAGGATCGGAGCGCAAAATTTTAACATTTCGACCAAACTGCGTTCGAACCATGGTTAAAAATTCTGTTGCTACTGCGTACAAATCAGATTTTAAACGAAGAAAATAAACCCAGCTGTAGCGAGTGGCATGATCAATAAAAAAGCAAAATACCGATAGCCATCGCGAGAAACAGTGGGTGCAGGACCCCAAAGATCAGAATGAACAATGTGGAAGGGTTTAGTAATTATGGTGGTGCTAGACGGAAATGAGATGCATTTAATCTTTGCTTCAACACAACTAGAACAAGGAGGAGGAGTGTCCGAAAAATCAATGGTTTTATCGTCAAGCAATTGTTGTTGAAACATAGACTTAAGACGCGAAGAGTTGGGATGACCCAAACGACTATGCCAAAGCTGCCAAGAGTGTACTGACTGACTCGAAAAAAACAGGGAAAAAGGTAGACGAAACTGACGAGCGAGGTGATAAAGAAAACGAAGGTACGGTGAGCTCCTCCAGCTGAAAAATCCTCCCCTGTTTACTCCCTCTTCCGATCTGCCTCCCCGTCGTCAGATCCTGAACAAAACAATCAGACGGTGCAAACACAACAGAACAATTTTGTTCAGTTAATTGGCCCACTGAAACTAAGTTAGGTTGTAAAGCAGGAACATGGAGAGTATTATCAAGTGTAATATGAGGCTGCTTTAACAACCCAATCCCTTTCACATCCAAATGCTGACCATTGGCTACTTATAGGCGTAAGTCTTTAACCGTGGCAACATTACGCAATTTATCAGAAGCATTAGTCATATGATTAAAACAGGCAGAATCAAGTAGCCAAGGTTTGTATTTACTGGAAGCTTGAAGAGAGGCGAATGTTGTATTTATGGCATTGGGAAGTGCTGAATTGATCGCCGTCGGAAGAGCTTTCTGAAGTGCGGAGTTGACGAGATGCTCGACAGTTGCGGCAGAGAGTCCCCCGCCAGCAGAATCGGTTGGCTGAGCAGCATAGACAGGGCGGGATTTAGAGGATCCCGAAGCTGGATCTGATTGAGCTTGAGTACGATACTTGAGGCTGCGGCAGTCTAGAATTATGTGGCCTGGGCGTTTGCAATAAACACAATAATTCTTCTTTCGGCAATGTTTTTGCATATGCCCTTTCTCTTCACAAAATCGGCAGATAAGCTCAGAGGTAGGAATCCGTTGCTGGAATTGTTGGCAGCCCACTACATAGGCAGAAGAATCCTCATCACCAGCAGATGGAACGCCTGCAAAAACTGTCTCATTGGCAGGAGGGCGATGATCAAGCCTCTCTTGCGTCCACAGACGCGTTTCTTCACGCAGCAGTCGGTCAACAATCCCTTCAAAGCGAATGTTTTCTTGATTCAGCAGGGATGCCCGAAGCTGCTCATATTTGGGCCTTAGTTTCATCAAAAAATGATAGAGACGAGAGCGGAGTATCTCAGCCCGAGCCTCTTCAGATACGACAGCGGGTCGAAGATAAGTCAAGAGCAAATCTTGCTCGGTCCATAGCTGCAGTGCAGCACTATAATAAGCCAAAATATCCTGATCTCCTTGTTTTAGCTGTGACAATTCTACTTCCAATTCAAACTGCCTAGCTGAATCTTGGGTGGTATATGTAGAAGCTAGCTGAGCCCACATCTCATGGACGGTGGTAAATAAACGCAGACCAAGAATAATGGACGAATCAACAGAATTAAGGATCCAAGTCTTTACCCGAGCATTGTTCTGGATCCATGTATTCAGTACTTGCTCAGAAGCAGGCGGCACAGTTGGTTTCGTAGAGGTACCATCAAGGATCGACAGAAGACCCTTGCCTTCAACAAAGACACGAAATTGGAACTCCCAAACCGCATAGTTCTTCGAATTCAAACGAACGGAAATCCCCTCGGAATTCCCTGACTGTGGCTCTGATACCATGTTAGCCATATCGATGTCGAATAGAAACAGAAACAAAGGCAGAGATTTACGTGGTATCCCTGATTAACAAGACTAGTCCACGGGAGAGCTTTGAAGACTCTCCGGCTACTGATTATTTCCTTGATCCTTCAACAGTCACACCAGGAACATATATACAATAGGATTCTACATGGGAACCCTAGAGCAGCCGAGTGCATGGCTGCATGCCACATACGTGGGCCTCCAACTCTCCTTAACTCCTAATTACAGTCATTAACTACTAATGGGCTGAATACATAATGGGCTAAATATATACATACAAACGTAACTTATATGAGTGCCTAACATTTGGAACCTCTTATTTTATATGTTGTATTCTCAGTATACATGTATCTCGAGAATACAACGTTTTTTGACTTGATGTAGTAACAGAATGCATGTATTCATAATCCATGATGTATTCCTAATTCATAAAAAATGATGTATTCATAATCTTACATTTTTTGTGAGATTATTAGTATTAATAGTTTATTTAAACTATAATTCATGCATTTTTATATGAGTTCCAAACAATCAATTATCAAACCCACACATTCTTACTTTCTTAGAGGTCGTTTGGAAGTTGCGATTGTTAAATAGATGTATTGTTGAGAATGCATGTATAATATTATACATGTATTGTCGAATTTGATGCATTGTAGAATACAACGTTTGGTATGTGTGATTGTGCATGTCACATCAACTAAAAGCTTAAACAAAACAATCTCAACTCAACTATCTCAACAATCACAACTAAAAGTTGAGATATAACAATCACTAAAAATGAGTGATAGTTTCTGTCACATCACAGAAACAATTCATGTATTGTTTCTGCTAAAAAAACAAAAAAACGATGCATTGTAAACAATACATGCATAATGACAATCTCAACAAAACTATCGCAACTTCTTAGTATACACATAACATTTAATACACATTCTCGTAATACATCATTGGCAGAATCGACCCTTAATTTCTTAAAAAAAAAATGGTGGATTGAAGAAAGCCGAGAGGAGATTGTCCCAACAGTTGTCACCTCACCACCATGCTAACGAGAAATAAAAAAATGACATTGGGAAACCTATCGGTTCCCTCGCCACCAGGGTTTGGTTTTGAGTTTCAGTTTCGAACGAAGACACCGACTGACACAGAGTAGAGCCGAGCGAAAACAGAGCAGGATTGGATTTTTAGCTTTTAGTTTACAACTGGTTTCTGTTCTCGGGCAATAAAAGGCTATGAAAAGGTTCAGATTCACTTCTACACAGAAGGATTCCAGAGTTTGATTCGACGGTGATACATACGGATCTGGGCAAGGCAGGTAGAAACCCGGCGCAGCTGCCATGGTGGCGGTAAGACTCTGTTTCTCATACCTTTTCTCCTTTTCGGTTCTGGGTAGGAGTAAGAATCTCAAATCCGGGCCAGAAGGGGATATCCCTTTCCCTATTATGTTTCGGAATCGGAAAAGAGAGCGAATTCAATAAAGAGGCCGAGAAAGAAAGAGTTCTGCTTTAGAAGATACAGGCATATATCATAGTTCGAATGGCTGATGGATTGAAGGATTGGTCTGAATTGGGGGAGGACCTGCTGTCTAGGATTGGGCACTGTTTGAGGACATTAGAGGATGTCATCAGATTCCGTGCTGTTTGTAATCCATGGAGGCGAGCCCTATTGGCCGAGCAGCAGCGCAGGTTTCCCCCATTCACACAGTGGCTGATGCTACCGTTTTGCAGGAGCAACAACATGAACATGGAAATGTCGATGTGCAGTACCATCTCCAACTCCCTGGCTGCGGTGCCAGTGACCGGGTGCAAAGGCTCCGAGAACTGCCGCTGCTTTTACAACGTGGCGCTGCATCAATTTCACCACATCGAGTTCCCCCAAGGCCTGCAAGGCAAAAGGTACCGCGGATCCACAATGGGCTGGCTGTGCATTGTGGATAAAACGCCCGGCATCTCGTTGTTGAACCCTCTTTCTAAGATCGAGATCCCACTTCCACCCGCCACATCTTTTCCCGATGTGCTGGCCTACCGCCCTGAGAAGGCCCGGGGTGAGTACCTGCTTCGAATGGCAGATGGTTCCGAAGAATCCATTAGCAAGAACTTCTTTTTGAAGAACTACCTGAAGAGGGTTGTTGTATCTGCCGAGCCCACCTTAGAGGAATGCGTTGTGATGGCCATCCGATGGAACACCGAGGACGATCGCCTGGCATTCTGCAGGCCTACTGAAATTGAGGCGGGATGGAAGTTGGTTGCTCACTTGGTTGCTCACGAGGAGGAGAATGGTATACCCCCGGACAGGATTGGTTTTGTGGATGTGGTTTTTTGGAGGGATCGATTTTATGCCCTTGACTGGGGAGGAAGGATTCTGGTGTGTGATTTTTCTGCTAACCCGCATCACCCTACTCTGTCGTTCTTTCTTGAATTTCATCCCAATCATGATGGTTATGGCTATGCCGACAATCAATACTTGGTTGTGTGTCCCGCTGCTGTTACCGGGGATGAAGATGATCAGCTGGTGATGGTATCTAGATTTACGAAATGGATGGATATTGATGAGAGCGATGATGACAGCAATTCGGATGATGATTGTCCACCAGGCAACAATGCAAAAACTTACTGTGCCAAGAAGTTCAAAGTTTTCAAGATGAAGAAGAATGCCATAGGATGGGATGAGTTTAACAGCATCGGAGAATTTGCCTTGTTCTTGGGCTTCAACTCCTCTGCAACTTTTGTCCACACCAAAGCGCATCCTAGAATAGTTCCCAATTCCATTTATTTCACAGACGATATTATTGACAGCCATCGAGGGCGGATGCATGGTGGTCATGACATGAGCGTCTACAACCTCGCCACTCAAAAGGTCATGCCTCTCTATTCTACCACCACTTTGCATGATAACCCTGTGATGATTTCTCCATTACCTCTATGGTTCTCTCCGTCGATTGTTACTGGCTCGTAAGCACCCCGCTGGCGAAATCAACTATTGGCCAGTTTACCTACTCTTGTAGCCAGCCTATTGCAGGTAGTCCCATTCCTTACTCTTGTGTTGTGAACTTTGTAATCTATCGTTATCATGTTACCTGCAGCTTTGTAATCAATCTCTTTATTTAATAAACAATGCAGTCGGGTAATTTTTTTCTATGATGAATTATTTATATCATGTTTCACTTTGAATGCTGGTGTCGAATTTTTGTATGGAATCGTCAAGTTCAACAGAAGTGTGGTCTTCACTCTTTTGGTACAAGAAAGAGTGGCCTCTGCAATGTTCAGTTAGCTTTTCTTTTGCTCATCCACTGTGGTGCTAGGTTGTTCCTTAGATACATTAAGAAAGAGGTAGGGATATTAAAGTCAACCTGATTCTGATACTGATACCGTGATAGAATTCTTTGAATCGAAACCTTCTCTGCAAAGGAAACAAACGAGAGGAGGAGGCCTATCACGAACACAATGTTCTCGTTTTGATCCTCAGTAACAACGCGATGAGCAACTGCGGTTACAGAGAATAAACTGAGTTGCTATTCTTCCGTATCGATACAGGGGAGTAACTGTGTTCATTTGATGTCACTACATTTGATGACTACATCTAAGTTCAAGCCAACCAGCATACATAACAATGACAACAGTAATATAATAGCGCTTTCATTCACTTCATTTCCGCTCTTGACGAAAATCCACAATGAAATTAAGCAGCCTCCAAATGCTGGAAAGCAGCTTTTACTCGGCCCATTGGCCGACTAATTTGCTTTATAAAACTTTCATCTTGTCGTCATTGTGCTTTCTGGTTTTTGTCAGGCCATGATAAAATCTAAGGAAATCAAGAACGAACAACACGATTTGGGATAGGAACCGCCTTTGTCGTATCCCTAGAAAATGGTGGTAAACACAGACTCACCTGCCAAACTGGTTTGGATTGAGGTTTTTATCGGGTATCAGGGAACCATGTAATTATAAATTAGACTTGATCAAAACGGGTCAAAACTTAAAATTCAGCATGTTTGACCGACTCATGCCAAATTCTAATTATTCTTTACTTTTAAACTTTCTATTTGAAAATAAAAAATAGTAAAAGAAAAGAGATGACTACAATTCGCCATTTGCACATCACTTATTCAGGAATAAAACCATAGAAATTCAAAAGGAACTGAAAATATTTAGGATCGTTTTAATGTTTAAAATAACCAAATAGATCTTTCTGTTTAGTTTTTTACTAACAAATACCAAACGATTTCCAATAAAATACATTATAATTTGATCATTATGATATCAAATAATTATATAATATATATTTGAAATGGTAAAAATTGGACTAATTTGGTTGGTCGAGGTTGAACCATTGAATAACTTTAAAATACATTATATTTTAGCCACTAAGATATAAAATAATAACATAATATATATTATGCCAGAGAAAATAGCTTGTTTTAGAATGTCAAACCAATTATGTTCATTTGTTTTACTTGATGGCCAAATCCCGTGTAGGTCATTCAACTCTTTTATTTTATGGTTAGCGGTTAGCCCATTAGATACGATGCATTAGTTTATTGTTAAAATTTTTATTTTTAGCAATAAAAAGAAGTATTTTTTTGCCTTTTCATATATATTTTTTACCATGGAGAAATAAAAGGGCTTAAAGAAAAAAATTGACACTCCTGGACCCGTTTAAATCTGCATGTGTACGGTAAGTTGGCCCGTTCCACAGAGGAAAGAGAAAAAAAATTGACACTCTCTATTCTACTTTTCCTACAAACGCACATGGAGCAGGGAATTTGAAATGGGGGAAGGGTTTTTTCCTCCATGCTATTATATGTTTTCAATTTAAAAATATACAACAAATGTACTTAGTGTGATTGGTTATGATCCTTGCTTTTCTTTAAAATGGTCATGGTTTGAATCCCAGTACGTGTCTTTTTAATGAATAAAAAAAAGCAATTGTGAAGACCAAAATATCCTTCCTACATTCACTCTCGTTGCAGGAAATTTGAAATGGGGCTCCCGTTTTCCCCTTCGGCGTATTATATTATGTGTAGAGATATTTTCGCACAATGATACTTTAAATATGTACAAGACTTTATCTTTCTACTAACTGGAATCAATTAGTCTAGCTTTATCTCCTTTTGTTTTATCACTAAAAAATAAATATTTTCTTCAAATAATTTATAAGAACGAATCGACCTACCCAGTGGCGTAGTCAGAATTTTGAATTGATCTGGGTCCTTAAAATTTTCCAAACTCTAAAGTTTGTGTATCTAATGAACTTCGAATTGATTAGTATCCTTAGACGAGCTAACATCGACAAGAGTATGAGGTCCTGAATTCGAATGATCATCCTAGGACCCCTCTCCTTAAAACAACGTGGCTCCGCCACTACAACTACCACAATCCTACCTACGGATATTACCCAACATGATCAGCGATTGGCGCAGGGGAAATATGGGTATTGAGGTACAAGTTACAAAAAAGTCCGCGATGTATTATCATATTTTGAAAATAATTTAAAATACACTCACTGTCTACAAATGTTCAATAAATCTCTTTCAATATATCCGAAACTTTTTTTTGTTGTAACATAAAGCTCAAAAAGCTCTATCATCAGTTCCTTTTAATCCAAAAAGTAACTCATTATTTTTAATACAAGGATAATAATCCTTAAAATCCCGTTGGAAAAACGAATCAGAAAGGTGACCAAGTTCTTCAGGATAAAATTGTGTGTTAGAATACGGTAGGATGTTTTGGGCTTTAAAAAAAAATTGGGGATAAGAGCTACATGTTTATAATTAAATTTGGTTCGCTGCCTCCAGTCCTCCACCCTTTCATCAAAATCTATCAGTCTCGGTTGATTGCGCCATTCGTTTCTGTTGGGGATATATGAAGAGGCCCAAGCCCATGAGGGTTAAATGGGAAGGCAGGCCCAAGCAATGGATTAGGGCACTCAGCGTAGGGCAGGCGCATGACGACAAAAGATGCATGAGGACAAGTGGTACGGAGGGAGGGAGCTAGAAAAGAAGCCACCTGGCGAAGTGGTCCCTGCTGGGCGCCCCCTTTTCGAGTGTTCCAAGGCGGCCACGTATAGGCGCCTGACCATGATACGAACCATGCATTAAATGAATCAATGACGTGGGCTCAAATGCCAGGAGGACCGTTGGGACCTCGGCAAGTATAAATAGTACTCGGTAGGTAGCATTTACGCAGGTTGGCTTCTCTCACTAAAATACCAAGGCCCTTACGCGCTTGTGTGTGTAGGTTCCAGGCTCTTGAGTCGCGGATAACTTCCTCGTGGGAGGATAAGGGATAAGAGGTATCTTGGCTCAAACAATTGGCGCGCCAGATAGGTGGCGCACGAGAAGAGTAAGCGCATGGAAAACATGAACGAAGGAAATGGGGGGGGGGGAGGATAATTCAAAATCGGGAACCTCAAATCACGAGGAAGGCGAGCGTCAACTGAGTCAGGAGTTGAGCATGGATGTGGAAGGACAAGGGAGCCCCGGGCGCCTGTCAGCGGATGAGGGTGAATCCCTGACAAAGAGAGAGCTGTTCCGAATCATAGCTGACCAAGATCGGGCCATAGCGGTGCTCAGGAGGGAGTTGGAAGGGGAGCGAACTGAAGACATGATGATGTACAGCCCAGGAGTGAGGAAGCAAGAAAGAGTGGGGGAAGAATCGGAGTCCCTGCAATATGGACTTCCTCATCC